GTGTGGTGGGGGCTGTGGAGGTCGTAGGGGTGGGGGTCCTGAGTGACATGGTCAGAGAATGATGTAAGGTGAGGTGAAGGAAAAAAAGAAAAGAAAGGGTCTATAGAGGATTATTAATACAAGCTGCAAATCATGCTACACTCACCAGGAGACAGGACAGGAAATGAGAATGGGGGTGGGAATGACATTATATCCACCAGTAGAAAAATGTAAAGCAGAATAGTTTTGCTGAAAAACCTCAGGGAAAGTACAGCAAACTAGAGTCCCTGCTATATTTTCAAACTATATTCAATTATTTACCTCTGGTGGTATGGTGCCTTACAGAAAGTGTAGTTTTTCTTTGAGATTTCTTGCTAGAAACATTGTCTCAATATAAAAACGCTCATGACAATTGTTGGTAGTTTAATAATCTGCCCTGGACTTGTTTTGTTTTGTATGTCACTCATTAGTATATTGTTTGACTCACCTCTGCTTGTGTTTCAGAACCTTTCCTGCCTCGTGTGTTCTCCCTCCAGTTTTCTTTTCTGGCATGATTAGTTTCACCTGCCGCTCGTTAGCCCTGCAGTCACCAGCCTCCTGCTCACCTGCTCCCACTTCCCCATTAGTCTTTCACAATTTGTAGAGCACAACTGTCAGCAAAGGACCCAAACACAGACAAAAAGCAGGCTGCCTGCAGCAGTTAAATGATTTATCGCTAACAGATAAAAGTCCAATTGCAGGAAGGTAACAGGTAAACAAAACCCAATACAGAAACTGACAAAGAACAAAGGAGCTAGGCTAGTATAAATTGTGAAAGAGTAATGGGGAAGTGGGAACAGATGAACAGGAGGTCTGGTGACTGCAGGGCTAACGAGGGAAAGGGGAAACTAATTAGGGCCAAACAGACCAAATCTGGAGGGAGAACACCCAAGGCAGGAAGTGATCAGTAACAAGAGGAAAAATAAAACAGGAAACACTAAAAAACAATGAGTGACACAAACAAAACTTAACTAACGTGCAGCCCTGTGAAGAAGTACCGCGGCTTAATGCTATCATAAGAATGCTAACATGATCACATATCAGAATCAGAAACAGGTTTATTACCAGGTAGGTTGACACGTACGAGGAATTTAACTTGGTGTCTTTGTGCATACATAAAAGTAAAACAACAATTAAAAACACAGATAGAGAACTATTTCAAAATATAGCATTAAAAAATAATAAAAAATATAGCAGTATTTACATTGAACGCCAACAAGATCACAATGACTGCTATCTTGTTGATGTGAGGCTGGTTTACTGTTCACCACATTTTAGTCTTTATACAATTAGTGTACCGACTTATCCCTCATATTTATTGAAAAAAGAAAATGCATTTCTAAATATATATATACAGTATATGGTTGGATACCACTAGAGGTAAGGTTAGATTGTATTTGGTACATTGTAGTGATTTATCCTTTAAGAATATACAGACTCAATTGAAGGTCCTCTGTATTCATCTAGAAGCTGTTATTGTATTAAAACTATATTTAGATCTGCCCAAAGCATGCTAGAGAAAGGACTTGGCATAACAAAGACCAAATGAAACAGAGAGAGAAAAATAGCAGCAAACTAAAAGCACAGCCAAATGAATCTGCTTTATTTCTTTTGTTGACTTGATTTGAAAAAATCGGTGAAAATATACTCATACATTTGAATATCCTAACTCATCTTATACAATATGCTGGTCAGGCCCACATGTATTAACACACTGACATACACAGATCTGCTTGTGTCATTCCCACATGCCTCAAGGTTGAAGAGCTTATCAAGATGTCATCTTTCTCTTTGGCTGCTGAACTGACATGTTCTTCTTATCTCTCTCCAAATCCTCCCCTCCACTCCTCCACTCACTTCACCTCTCCGGCAGATCTGTTGGAGGACGAGCGTCTGACCAGCGCCCATCAGGCTGAAGCCTTCACCCGCCAGATCCAGAATCTGCAAGGTATCAACAACAAAAATAAAATGTCAGCAATAAAGCTATGCCCTGAATAAACCCAGGACATAACTATGACTGTTCAACACAACAGAATACAGATATTGCATATTACATTTCTCATGTTTTTCAATAGTCAAGGTCATGCGGATTTACTGTCTGCTGCCTGTGTGGAACAATTTGTGAGCGTTAATCAACATCTTGTATATCACTGTAAGGGATTTCTATTATCCTACTAGTTCTCTACTGAATAGTCTCAGACAGAAAGTGCTAAATAACTATGCCAGGATATGATTGACAAGAACACGTTAAAAGCTTGTATTTGTTCACATAGAGACACACAATTATTCTTAAAAAAGCTGTTTGTGTTTAATCATAAGGGGTCAACAAAATACACCTAAGAACAAACAGTACAACTCACACACCCCCAACCCACCAAAGTACATCATTTGAAAACAAATGAAGCAAAAGAAAAAAGATAGAAAGAATTTCCAAACTCAATCTGTTCACAGAAATAAACAAAGAACATTCATAAAGTGTTGTTTTTAAGCTGCTACTTATTTTTCAGTCAGTTGGATGAATGCCAAACTATTTAATAATGCATTTGCATGCATTGCGTACAACAATCAGGTCTTAAGTGCTTAATTTAGTTATCAAAGGTTTTATTGGTGTTATTTTTGTGTTAATATTGTCTTTGTGAGAAGTAAACATATAGTCTGGACACACACACGCACGCACGCACGCACACACACACACACACACACACACACACACACACACACACACTCCACCCACTCACAAAAACATACAAGCCCACTGTTGCAAAAGCTCAGGTGAGACAAACACACACACACCCACCCACGCACGCACGCACGCACGCACGCACGCACGCACGCACGCACGCACGCACGCACGCACGCACGCACGCACGCACGCACGCACACACACACACACACACACACACACACGCACTCACACTCTCAAATATATGAATCTATAGTCCCACCTACACATCCCCCATAAAGCCACCCTCTCCTCCTCCTCTCCCCACAGCCCAGCTGCGCTCTGTGCAGGAGGAGATGGACAGCCTGGAGGAGGAGAAGGAGAGCGAGCTGGCCGAGGCCCAGGAGGAGCTGCGAGTCGCTCAGGAGGAGGTGATCCTGCTGCAGCAGACGGCGGAGGAGGCTGCGGCAGAGAGGGAGTTCGACATCGCCTCGCTGCAGGAGGAGCTGTGCCGCCGGCGGGCCGAGCTGCAGCGCCTCAGCGAGGAGACGCAGGAGTACGAGCTGGAGATCACCACGCTGAGGGCCGAGATCAGCATGAAGAGCCAGCTCAGGGTGGCCGAGAGGAGAGAGGGTGAGGGGGGAGGAGAGGAGGTGTAGAAATAATAAAGAAAACACAAGACAGACAGGTTCAAGGTTCAAGGCTTTTATTGTCATTAGTGCATTGAGCTGCAGTGTAGTTATGACAATGGAAATCTTAGGTCACAGGCAGCTCCAACAGTGCAACAACAATACAATGGATAACAAGTAAATAAAATAGAATATAAAAGGGATGGATGTAAGAGAGGAAGGTGGAACAGAGTGCCGAGGTGGTTTTGGTAGTTTTCACACATACCTTCTCCTCCTTTCCAACATTGTTCTACTTACAGTAGCCTACATAATAGATAAGATGAATCAAGTCCTGTATTGACACTTCCTCTTCACACCACATGTATAAAGCCATTAGTGGGAGACATTTATCAAACTCACATTAATGTACGAATAGTCCACGATCAGTCTTTGTGCCTGATATTATGGGAAAGGAGCATGATGTTAGATGTTCTTCTTCCGACCCTCATATCGGCTTAGCACCCCACAGTCAAGAACATTAATCATTTGTGGGGTTTAATAAATATTACAAATGTGATGCTGAGTGCTGCAAGGGGAGTGGTGTCTGAGTGTGTACGTGTGAGTGTGTGTGTGCATTTAAAATACCAGGGACATGAAGTCATGAGCGGGAGGGACACACTCTTGTAACACATGATATCATCGCTGGGCTCTGCAGTCTCAGAGGGGAGCTCATGATATTTCATACTGGGCTGTTTCATGTAAACATCACACAGAATGGCATTAATATTGAAGTGAAATCTAACTCACAGTGGGCAATACTTTTACAGGAATAGTTTTTGACATTTGACCAAACACGCTTATTTGCTTTCTTGACACGATGTGGTGAGAAGAACCAGTAACTTCCTGGATTCTACCCTCTTTGCCTGGCAACCGAGCAACAGTCAAGCCACAATCCAGCTAACATCCCTCTAGAAAACATGTCATGTCTTTTAACACTTAGTCTTTTGTTTGGATTAAACAAACAAGATATGATATTTTAATATTGAGCGATACAAGTGCTAGTAGGCAGATTTAGTTACTGTTGGACAGAGCCGTACTAGCTGTTGTTTTCAGTCTTTAAGCTAAGCTAACTAGCAACTGGTGCTAGCTTCATGTTTAACAAATTGGCATTGGGTTGACATCAAGCTACTCATCTAACTCTAAACATAGTCATATTAGTGATAAGACTTTGTAATAACCTTATTTGAAAATGCTTTGTTAATAGATAATCAAGCTTTAGTTAATAGTTATCAATAACGGTTTACATACAAATAAATGATAATAATGTTTTAACTAATGAATGCTTAAGTAATGCGACCATTTATATTGTTTCATTGGATTAGACAATGCCTTCATAGCTAAAAGAGAAGATCACAATAATATATTAAGTATTTCTTGATGCATCAGAAACAATGATGGACAAGAGCATTTAACAAGTAGTAGCCATCCAAATAATGCCTTTAGTCAGTTTACTATAAAGCCATTTCTAACCCTTCACAATGTTTTTCAAATCAGTAAAATTGTATATCTGGGATAACATTTTTTTGAAAGTGTAACTATTGCATTACTAGATAACTAATTTGTTAACATCAATCTAAATGACTATTAACTTAAGTTGAATCAACTTTACTGAACCACTCAATGATGGTTATTGTAAAGAGTTCCTTAAGTATACTCTTAAGATGTTGTGACTACATCAAAGTCTCAATCAGTAACATTAACGATGAGCTCACCTTATCTTCCTTCTCTTAACCTCTTCTTGGCTCAGAAGTGTTGTCGTCTATCAATCTTACGGCCGGTGGTTCGATCCCCAGACCCTGCAGTCAACACATCGATGTGTCGTTCAGCAGGACACTTAACCCCGAGTTTCTCCCGATGGCAGGGCCAACGATGTGTGAATGTGTGTGAATGTTAGTCTCCCTGAGCAGGTGGCACCTTGTATGAATGGGTGTGAATGGTGACCAAAAAAAAGGAAAAAGCGATATATGAACACAATCCATTTAACAATTTTCTATCTGACCTCTCTGTCCTGCCAGGTGATGTGGACCTGCTCAAGGAGGAGTGCCGCACGCTGAGGGAGGAGTGTGAGACCCTGAAGGAGGACAACAGGCGTCTCACGGAGAGGCTGCAGCTGCTGCAGAGACAGAGGACATGGTGAGAGGTCGACGGCTGCTCTCTCATCAGCTGTGCTTCCTGCATCAGCTGGAAGGGGATCCCTCTGGAATATTACCCTCGTTATTCACGCCACGTCTCATTTAGAAAGGCCCGGCCACCTGTTTAATCGCTGCAGTACAACTGTAACATCATACGAGGGATTACACACACTTTTATTAGATGATAAGTAGATTGATGGAAAGATAATGGACGACAATTTTGAAATTGAAAGTTAATTCTTGACCTTAAAAACTATTTCCTAACACGATCTATGTAGCAGCTGCTGATTTTTTTTTAGCGCATCACACGATTTCCCTCAGCAGATGGGAAACTGGGCATCTGCTGATGGAGACGTCCTGATAAATCAAAAGCAATTTCTAACTTTATTTATAGCGCTATTGAAACCAACGTTACTTAGTGCTTTACAGGAATAGAAAGGGAAAGGATGAGTTAGGAGAAACACAATATATACAACACAGAGATACAGTATAACCCACCAAATAAGTTATACTATGAATTCATTTGCAGTAAGCACTACATCCAGAACATACCCATTAATATGATGATTATTCAATTTGAATTCACAAATCAATAATGCCAAACATGCTCTAGTTCCAGCCCTGCTTTGCTCTGTTTTGCATATTTTTGTATTTAATTAAATAACTATGTTTTGGTTTCGGACTGTCGGTCAGGCAAAAATAAGCAATTATTTTGTGATGGGCCTTTTGTGACATTTAACAGACCACACAATTAACTGATAACAAAGGATGCAATCATTTGATTAATCTAAAATTACAATAACCTTTAGTTGAAGCCCTATTACAAGGCTGGCTAGATACATAATGTCTCAATCAGTTATCAAATGTTGTGTACGCCATGAGGAAATCTCTGCATATGAAATGTGACAACACAAACGCTAACAAGCTCTCACTAAATAATTGCTGGAAAAAACACGTTTAGCCTTTCATCTGGGAAATGATCGGCCTATTTGGAGTCAATTCATGAGCTTAAGGCCTTTGCAGCTGAAATCAAACGTTTCTTGAGTTTTTCACCATTATTCCTTTTCCTCCAGCTCCAGCGTCTACCTGTCTCTGAAGGAGGAAGACGGAGAGGAGGGCTCAGACGGGAAGGATATGCAGACCGGCTGCGATGAGGTCATGACGGAGAGCTACATGACCATGGCCCAGTCTGGGAACTGTCGCCTGGTGGACGCCTCCATCCAGAAGAACATTTCTTTTGATGGGAAGCCTGCGACACAGAGCAGCTGGAACGGGGGCATCGGGGAGATCTTCTCCCTGAGGGAGCAGCTCAAACAGGCGGAGGAGAAGGCCTCACAGGTCCAGAGAGAGGTATGGTGCCCTGGGAGTTCACAATATGAATAAAACATGGGATGATGTGGTTCAGCCATTATAGGAAAATTGATTTCAATCAAAAACCCTGCTGTCCAACCCTTATTACACTGCTGCAAGGTGAGACATTACAGAGAAAAACATTGTTTTTGTTTTCTGCTCTTGCTCTGAGCCAGAAATCTCCACTGCAGCACCGCTTATATACACCAGACTTTCAAGTTTTATTCCCATCTATCTTCTGAGGGATTTTACAGAGGGGTATAGTCATAAATCATTCATTCCCCGATTTATATAACATTTTATTTCTGAAAACCTAGCGAAAATAGATGTTTTTTTTATGACTAAGGGCAGTATCTTTTGATTTATGGGATGTTATCTAAAACATTCTCTTTAAAAAATGGACTCTTATACTGACAACAAATTGAAACAAGAACATGTAACCTGACTGGATCCAATGTTCAGATTTATGTTTTGGAAATGTATGAAATCAGCACATATTTACTAAATAATATTTCAAGACAATGCCAAATTTGAATATTTATTTTTTATCAAATCAAATCAAAATCAAGTTTTATTTATATAGCACATTTATAAACGATTTTTGGTCAAGCCAAAGTGCTGTACATATAATAAAAAATAGCCTACAGTAGAGACACTTTACAGCTAATATAACAGCACAGATTGTTCAGAATATCAGTATGAGAAAAAACGACACCCTCTATCCTTAGACCCTCGCATCGTACAAGGAAAAACTTCCAGAGAAAAAAGCACAGTTTAAAGGGAAGTCCACGACTTAATCCAGAACTCAGGAAAGAGGATCCAGGACACAGGACCACAGCAAGAAGATCAGCCTCGACTCCGGATCCCGGCGTAGATATAGACACAAAACAAGAAAAAATGTGGCTGGGTTAATCGGAACAAGAGAATACACAGACACAGACAGACAGGACGGAAGAACAAGCACTCCCTTAGAATAGGTTGAGGGCAAAGGGTAGCAAGTAAGAGAGTAAGAAATATATGTGAAGAGGCACACTCAGGGAACAAGGTCCCCATTGGAGCCTTAGTTGGAAATTGATGAGAGATAGGGAGGTATGCTGTGTCTACGAATCGTAACACTCCCCGGCCTGTCTAAGCCACTCTACAAACAGTTTCCTTCTAATAAAACCTCGAGAGGTTAGAGAGGGAAAAGGTCTTGGATAAAAGTTATTCTTGATAAGAGAAGCCTAGAAGGCCAGAGAGAAAAAGTGAGTTTTAAGTGATGATTTAAAAACCCCAGGGTCTGGGCCGACCTCACATGGAGGGGCAGAGTGTTCCAGAGCCTAGGGCCCGCTGCTGCGAATGCTCGGTGCCCTCTGGTTTTGAGCCTGGTCTTAGGCACTACCAGCAGCAGCTGGTCAGCCGAGCTTAAGGCTATGCCTGGGGTGTAGCGATGGAGGAGTTTGGCTACACAGGCTGGAGCCAGCCCATTTAGGGCTTTGAAAAAAAAAAAAAAGGATTTTAAAATCTATTCTGAACCGAACTGGAAGCCGGTGCAATGAGGCCAGAATTGGGGTGATGTGGTCACGCTTTTTATGGCCATTTAGAAGACATGCAGCTGCGTTCTGCACTAGCTGCAGGCGTCTAATTGAGGCCTGGCCCATACCCACATACAGAGCATTGCAGTAATCCAGTCTCGAGGTAACAAAGGCGTTAATAACCCTTTCTAGGTCTTTAAAAGATAAAAACGACTTGGTCTTAGCCAGTGGTGGCTGGTGGAAAATATTTTTGGTGGGGCTATGGAAATGGTGACCTAACCATACTAGGGCGGTCCGGGGGATTGGCCTCCCGGAATACATTTTTGAGAAATGACCCCTTAAATTATGACTTCTGGTGATGTTAGAGGGGGGGGGTTAGCTATGAATCTTCCAAAACTGTGCAACAGTACAGTATGCCCACAAAAACTGCAGAACACTGGTGCTTTGGGAACACTCAAATTATTTAAAATCAGGAGACTAAATACGAACATTATGGTGGAGGACCAGCGGCAGGTCACGGTGTTGCGAGACAGTGGTGGCTCAGTCATTCATCCTTGCCGGTGCCTTGACCCTGAGTGCTGAGTCTGCCTGTGATGCGAATATGGTGGTGAGAGGTATTGAAAGTGGTTTTGTGACCGCACATCTTCACAATGTCCATGTCCAGTCTGAACTGGCTACTGGTTTCTTTCCAGTTGCTGTACTCCCCAAATTTCCTGTTGACGGTGTGGATGTCATAATGGGTAATGATATAGCCGGGGGTAAAGTGTATCCTCAGGGCAATTATCCTCACTGTAGGGCTCGTAACAGACGTGTCACACGTGCTCATTCTGTTTCTCTCCCAGGTCCCGACACTAAGAGATTGTGTTTCTCTTGTCTTGACCCTGGTCATTTAGTGGCGGAGTGTGTGGCTTGGAAGCAGCAGGTGGCAGCTTCCAAGCATTCAATAGTAGGCTTGTGAACTATGTGTATGTTGGTAACTGTGGCCACACGTGTGTGTGTGTGTGTGTGTGTGTGTGTGTGTGTGTGTGTGTGTGTGTGTGTGTGTGTGTGTGTGTGTGTGTGTGTGTGTGTGTGTGTGTGTGTGTGTGTGTGTGTGTGTGTGTGTGTGTGTGTGTGTGTGGGGG